TTCATTCTAAGTTCAGTCGCATAAGTTCAAAAGATACATATTGCCCCAATTGTTGTCCGAGTGAAGTATGGAGGAATGCAAAATCAAGCTGAAATGCCATCCTCTTGTGGAACTTTGATCTCATTTGATTTAAAAGGGGAAACCCTCCATGGTAAATTGAAATCTTCAACTCCGTCGGTCTTCAAGTTGTAGTTTTCAAATTCGCCGATCTTCAAGTTGAAATGTTTAGGCCCTCCAAGTCTCAAAGTTGAAGTCTTCAAGTCCGTCGGTCTTCAAGTTGAAGTCTTCAAATTCGCCGGTCTTAAAGTTGAAATATTTAAGCCCCCAAGTTGAAGTCTTCAAGTTNACTATGTGGGGTCCAGTGTACCGCTATCAATTATCATCATAATTATCAGCCGCACCCAGCCGAAAAAATTGTAAATTGTTATCAATCAAGAACAGTGCCAAAAATCAATTATCTTGGTTTTTCTATTGTATTATATCTATATGTTATCTTAGGGTTTTCTACTAACTAAAAAAAAAAAAAAAAAAAAAAAAAAAAAAAAAAAAAGCAAAAATCATTTGGTGATGCATTTTCATGTTAGCATGTTAGTACATTATTAGTGTATTCACAAGATGATTCAAAAAGATCCCAGCTTGCATGGTGAGTGAATACCCTTAATTACTTAGCTATATATTAAGGGGATTCAGCAATTTATATTTATACAAAAGAAATCGTTTTTAACCTCTATTTATAAAATATAATTTTTCGACAAAGAGAATTTGAAATATCTACGTCACCGGTTTTAACATGTTATAGCATGTAATGAGACATTTTGCAGGCTAAACGAATACCTCTAGTTATCATTTAGGTGATTCAATAACGTAAAAACTCTTTTATACTGTTGTAATTAAACTCAAAATATTAATATACTGAATTACAGGCAGAGTCTAGCTAGAATAAGCAAGAAACTTGCCTGAATAATGAGACTTGGACAAGATTGGCAGGCCACCACATTGCTGCTGGCTCTACCAAATACCTTCTAAAAATTCCAGCCCATCCGAATCCTAGCACCTACCATTCAAAATTTCCATATCTTATCAACAAATTAATCCAACTACATATATAAAAAAGAATCTTGAACATATATACAGTCAAACCTCTCTATACCAGAATCGTTTGTTCTTGATATTTTTGGATGTTATATCGAATTGTTATTATAAAGAACATATATTATTAAAAAAATGACATTTTGTTCCGAAAAACTTGACTTTTACGGTGAAGTATTGTTATATAAGCAACGGCGGAGCCAGAATTTTTACTAAGGGGTGTCAAAACATAAAAAAATTAGATCAAAAAAATTATCTAGCAATACTAAGTAATTTTCCGGCAAAGAGGTGTCAGATTGACACCCCTTGGTTGAATATGGCTCCGCCACTGTACATAAGAATGCTGTTATAGAGAGGTACGACTGTACTAACTATAAGAATTAAAATATTTACCTGTGTTGTGATAACAACAATAAGGGAAACGAAGAAGGTGATGTTTTTCTGATAGAAAACCTTAACAGCAGTGACAACATGAATAGCATAAACAGTGCCAGCACCAGAGTTTGCGAAAATGGTAATAAGAACATGTTCTTTGACATTAAAAGGCCCTGGATTTAAAGTAAATTCCCATTTAGACCCTTGAAAGAATACTCTTTTTGTGATTTTAGCAGCCATAAGTTGGCCTAAAGGAACCACAGCAATCTGAGCTGAAATTGCTGTAATGGTCAATGGTTCTGTTCTGTACCAAAAGAATTGGTTTAAAAATGATAGTAAAACACAAGAAAGTGTGCCTAAAAACCACATTCGAAAAGTAAGAACTGGGAGTGAAGGATCATCTGCAATTGGCACTGTGAGTGCTACTTGTTTAATTGGTGAGTTTTCTTCTTGTTTTTTGATTTCAAGAGAGTTGTTGACTTTGGATTTTGAGCTTGATGCAATGCCATGATCAAGATTTGATACTGCAAAAACATAAGAGTTTGTGTTTGGATTTGTTAGAAAGAAAATATGAACTTTGAGCTTTGACGATGTAGAATTATTAACTTTTCCTGCTCGAATTATTCAAAAATGTTGTCGTCTGTGTCAGATCCTACAAAAGCTATTCCGTTTTGAGGATTCGACACGGTGATATTTTTGGAGAATTCGAGTAACATAAGAATTGAGTTAGAAAAAGTTTCTTACAAAGAGGAGTCTTGATTTCTGATGCAGATTCTTCCATTGGTTTTGTGTCTCTTTTTGGAGATGTACTTGGACAAGTGATATAGCTGGATATACATTTAGACGTGGGAGAATCTTATTCTTTTTATATTTTCCAATAATTTTGGATTAGGTGAAGTGTTGAATAATAAAAAGAAAAAAATAGAAGAGAGAAGAGCCAAATGGTGAAATTAACCCTATGCATTTAAACGTGGAAGATATTTCTACCTACCAAATACTTATGCAAGTGAGTAGTTAAAAAAGGAACCTTTTTTTTCTTCCTTTTCATGTAGATACTAGATTCAACATGTTATGTACGAATGAGGTTGGTCCACGTCATAGGTCTACCACAGAACCCAAAAGCATTTTAGGGCTCGTTTGGTACGAAATAAGGAATAATTAATCTCGGTATTAAATTTAAGAAGAGTTTATCCCATGCTTGGTTGGTAGAAAACTATGGTATAATTAATCCAGGATTAGTTATCCCGCGATTGTGGAATTTTTTAATCACCATAAAAAGATAGAATAACTAATCACAGGATAACAAATCCCGGAATAATTAAACTTGGGATAACTTCTTTCCAACCAAACGACCCCTTTATATTTTTTCTTGGACTTCTCTTACGGCTTGTTAGCGGTGGCGGAGGCAGAATTTCATTAAGTGTATCAAAATATATAAAAGTAAATGTATGAAAAAATCAAGGGGAATCAATATATAGTATATATGCATATAAATTTTTCTTTACGTATCTACACCGTGTATATTTTCCGTGAAGGGTTGTCAGTTGACGCCCCTTGCTATAAGGTGGCTCCGCTACTGCTTGTTCGGATTCATTATCAGTGGCGGAGCCACCCTTCGTCGTAATAAATTTTTCTAATATATATTTCTTTTGAGTTTTTTCGTATATTCATTGTCACGACCCAACTCCATTATAGGCCGTGATGGCGCCCAACATCATTGTTAGGCAAGCCAACACCGATCAAACTAGTGGTTTCCCGTCTAAATAAATTACTAAAATGGATAACATTTCCTCATTTGTTAAAAAGATTTAGAAACTTGCAATTGTAGCATAATTAAATGGAAACAAACGAGTACAAATCATAATCGTGTAAACAAATCCGAAATCATAAGTCTGCTAGTGTGTGTGCCAAGACCTGGCGTCACAGGTATGCGGGCAATCTAGTAGAATATATAAAAGAATATTGCCATACTGTCTGAAAGGTAATAGAAAGAAAAATATAATATAAGAAAGACTCCAACTGCTGCAGAACAGCTTGGAAGGCAGCTAACCGAGAAGTCTCGGGATGGGGATCAAATCTGCGCACCAGACTGGTAACCATATGTGCCTGCCTCATATCCTGTACAATTAAGTACAAAAGTGTAGCATGAGTACACAAATAATATGTACCTAATAAGCATCTAGTCTAACCTCGAAGAAGTAGTGACGAGGGGTCGACTTCGACACTTACTAATGGGTTTTCAATGTCTTTTCCTTATGCTTCTTATGTTTTGATGATCTAACAAACTTATTGTAAAGAACCAGATAGAGAACCTGACCCACGTGGTATACATTTTAAATGAATAATGTCCAGTCTGATCTCCAGCCAATGAATGAACAACCACAAGGAGGAACACAATAGGGACATGATGATCTGGTCCCTTAGGGTTCTCCAACAGAAGTACAAGTCAGTGACTGTTCGCAACCATTATAAATAGAAACACAACAGGGACCTGGTCCCTTAAGGTTCTCTGACAGAAGTACAAGTCAACTGTACAGCCGGAACGTAACAGCAGAAAGTGACTATCTCGCAACTGTTACAAAAGAGGAAGACAATTGGCACCTGGTCCCTTAGTGCTCTCCGACAGAAGTACAAGTCAACTATACAGGTGGAACGCAATTGCACAGAAGTAACTGTGCAGCAGACAGTGCAGCAGTCACTTCTCATTGGGAATAAGCGTGTACCAAGAATTGACATGACTATCCATTGTGATGTCTTTTGTGATATAACAACCTGGTGCAAGGCACAACATTTCACTTGTGCATTCAGTGATATTCTCTCAAGCATAACAATGTTCATCCGGCATTGAAGTCACTGGTGTGTCAAGAACAAGAAGACAACTCCACTAAGGATCAGTTTCGTAATGAGTTTATGTATATTCGTAGTTGAGTTGTAATCTTGTTATTTATTCTTCATTGTATTTCCTATTTTGCTTTCTCAGAAGCTTTGTCTTAGGAAAATAAAAATTCGTAAACTTCCGAGTTTATGTTGTGACTAGGATTAGTCATAAGTCTAAAGCCTTTGTAACTAGGAGAGTTATAAAGTGGCTTATGGTGAGAGCATCACAAGTTGGTTGAGTTCTTTGTAATAGGGTTATTACAAAGTGGCTTGTAATAGTGAGATTGCAAGTTAGTGAAGTTAAAAGCCTACATGTGTAGGTCGTGGTTTTTTTATCCCTTTGTGTGGGATTTTTCTACGTAAAAATCTCTTGTCTTCTTTACTTACAGTTTTATTAGCATTCCCAGCTTAACCTCATATAAGACCAGGTACTCTACTGTTTGGTGGACTCATACAAACTAACAATTGGTATCAGAGCGGGTTCCTCCTATGAGGCTAACACCTAGGAAGGATCCTCATGGCTGCTCCACCAAATTTTGAAGAAGGTCAATATACATACCGACCACCCAGGTTCAATGGACAATACTATGGGTGGTGGAAAACAAGAATGCATGATTTTATCATGGCTGAGGATTCCGAGTTATGGGATATCATTTGTGATGATCCACATGTTCCTATGAAGAAGCTTGAAGAAACTGGACCAATGGTGCCGAAAGACAGAAAGGAGTACAGTGATATTGACAGAAAAGCTATAGAAAAGAACTATCGCGCTAAGAAAATCTTGGTGTGTGGTATAGGACCCGATGAGTACAACAGAGTCTCAGCTTGTGATACTGCCAAAGAAATATGGGAAGCGTTGCAAACCGCACACGAAGAACCACTCAGGCTAAACAATCCAACATTGACATGCTCACCACAGAGTATGAGCTCTTCAGGATGAAGGATGATGAGTCTATACACGATATGCACACCAGATTCACATCCATCATAAATGAGCTTCATTCGCTTGGATATGTCATTCCCACAAACAAGCCGGTAAGAAAAATTCTTAGTGTTCTACCTGGTTCTTGGGAAAGTAAGGTAAATGTCATCACTGAAGCTAAAGATCTACAAACTCTAACCATGGACGAGCTGATTGGCAATCTGAAGACATACAAGGTGAAAAGAAAGAAAGAGAGTGAAAGAAGAGAGCCAAAGAAGGAAAAGAACCTGGTATTCAAGGTTGAAAGCAGTGACTCGAGTGAAGAAGATAGTGATATGGCCTATCTTACTAAAAGATTTCAAAAGATGGTTCGAAGGAATGGTGGTATACCAAAGAGGGGCAGTTCTAGTAAAGTAAGGAGTAATGATCTCTGTCACAAGTGTGGAAAGGCAGGGCATTTCATCAAAGACTGTCCACTAGCGAAATAAGAGCAATGACAAAACCCTGACAAAGCAGGAAAAAGAAACCTGGTTCCAGACAAACGATTCAATCGAAAAAGTGCAGCTAACAATATTGTGAAACAGGCTCTTGCTGCTTGGGGAGACTCCTCTAGTGAATCAGAAAGGGAACCAGATGCAGAAAATAGTTCCATGATGGCAGTGGAAACTGAAGCAACAAAGTATGATTCACTGTTCGCACTGATGGCTCAGTCTGATGATGATGAAGAAGATGAAGATAATGAGGTAAATTTCAGGGATGTTCAGAGAAATCTGAAATCCTACTCTTCTAAGAAGCCAAGGTCATTAGCAAATGTTCTGATTGATGCTTATTATAGCTTTGATAATGATAAGGAGATCTTGACCATAAAACTAGGAGAAATCGAACAATCTAGAGATGATCTGGTAGTCTGTGTAGTGGACCTAAATGAAACCATAGCCAATCTTGAAAAAGAAAAGGAAGCCTTGAATGAGAGAATAACTAGTATGGACAATGAGAGAGATGACCTGATGGTAGTAGTTGTTGACTTGAAGGAAACAATAGAAGGTCTTAGCAATGAAAAACACACCCTAGAAGAAAAAATTACAACTACTGAGAAAGAGAGGAATGACCTTTTAGTGATAATTATAGATCTAGAGGAAACCATTGAGGGAATCAATAGAGAACATAGGAATGTGAGCCTTGGGAAAGGGAAGGAAGTAGCTGGTGAGACGCACATCAAGCTTGAAAAAGAATTAACTGATGTGAGAACTAGTCTATGTGGTGAACTTGAGAAGAATCGGCAACTTCAAGCTGAATTGAAGAAAGTAAGAATTGATCTTGAGAAATCTCTAAAGTGGACTTGGTCCTCAGATGCTGTCACTGCCATGTATCTTAACAATAGAGGAAACAGGTAGGGCATCGGGTTCCAAAGGGAGAAAACTCCTTACAACCCTCACAGCAAGTACGTCACTATGCCTAATAACTGGTTGTGTACCCACTGTGGGAACAATGGGCATTTTAAAGAAAATTGCCAAGCCAGGATTCAATCTATTCAGAAAAACAAAGTGTTTACTGACAAAGTAACTACTAACAAGGGACCAGGTACCACTCACAAGAAACGAATGTTGCCTGCATGGACTAGAAAAGCCCTTATCCATCCCTTTTATCATAACAAGGGACCCAAACTAGTTTGGGTTCCTAAATCTAACCTATGATTTGCGTATGCAGGGAACAGTGAGAGGAAGCGTACTGCAATAGACCATGAACAGAGGATGCTCGAAGCACCTTGGATTTCTTCTCACTAAAAGCCCTACAGGTAGGGAATGTATTCTCCTTCAAAAAGGGAGGTACATTCTCGGTGTTTGAAAAGTTGGAAAGCTTCTTTGACACTCGGTTGAGAACGTGTTCTATGTGGGTGGCCTGAAGAACAGTCTCCTGAGTGTTTGTCAAATCTGTGATAGAGGTAACAAAGTAGAGCGCTTATCAAAAGTGTGCACAGTTACCAATCTGGTAATTGGCCAAGTGGTCTTAGCGGCCAAAGGAAACAAGAACATCTACTTTGCTGACTATGAATCTCCATATGGTGGTGATGTGAGATTCTTGAAGTCCGTTG